CGCGGAGGGCGCGGCTGGCTCCGGGCGAAGGTGGGCCCCCCCGCCACGGCGCTCAGGGAGGCGGCAGGGCCGCGGGCGCCACTCACTTTGTTCAGCATCTGAAAAGCAAATGCAAAAACACAGAACAATGGCATGAAGGACGGCCCCGGCGGCGTCAGGGCTCCCGCAGCCGCACAGGCTGCCCCCCGGCCCGGCGCTCACCTCGGGGTTGATCTCCATCGGCTTGAGCTGCATCTTGGCGGAGCGCGGCGCGAACCACCCACCCGAGCCCAGGAAACACGGCGAGCGGAGCCGCCCCGGCTGGCGCTATAAAGCGCCCGCCTGACGCACTGTGGGTGCCTGCGCAGGGGGAGCAGGGGCAGGACCAAGGCAGGGGGAGGCGGCCGGGCGCCGCCGGATGGCCACGAACCCCCCGTGCACAGCGCGGATGGTACGGCCAGGCCCCCCAACCTTGCAGTCTCACTGGCTGGTGAGATAATCCGGCGGTGGTGGAGATGGGTGTTGGCGGTGGGTGTACCTTGCGAGTATGGAGCAGTCCTGTGGATGGAGTCTTTCATTTTTTTTGGCGAAGTTTCTGGAAACCCATCCTTTCTGCCATTCCAATCACCCGAAAGCTCAGGGTCGCTGAAGCGTGGAGCAAAGCGTAAAATCAACAGGTACACATTGAATGCGGAGATGCGCACACGTTCAGCAAAGCTGGCCGCCGTTCCGTTTACCCTGACACCATGCGTCCTCCATGTTCAATCAAACCAGTGCGAGACTCGCTTTTAATTGCCCAGGGTACAGCGTAAGCTGGTCTGTACAAAACACGGCATTAGCTATGCTGATGTCATTTGACCCTCGGGAAGAATTGGCTGGTCGTAGGGACGCGGTAGAAACCTGGGGGAATGAGGCCATCATGCAAGACTCAGAGTGGGCAGGTGGTTGGAGGCTGCAGGAAACAGGGCCAGGGGAGAGGGGGTGCAATTTGGGGATGAGTGCCTGTACAAGGAAAAGCAGTTTTAAAAGAAGGAGAGGCTTTGAAAAATAAAATTCTGAATTGAAAATAGAACGAGAGAGAAAAGCAATGGCAACTAACGAAACCACAGTTGCCTAACAATCTCAGGTGGCTTTTTTAAAAAAAACCAGTGTATTTGAAGGCCGAAGGACGAATTTTAAAAGGGCCCACATCTGTAGGAACTGTGTCCTGCAAGCTGAATGGCAGAATGGTGTGGGGCTTGCAGACACACTAAGGAAGTAAAGAGGGTGTGCATTTAACATACATGCACACATATATGTTCAGGACAAAAGGATGATCAGAAAAAAGAGCCCACTGCGTAGGAGGAAGGCCCTTAACAGGAGACAGGGCAGGGAGAGAACCTGCTTTTAGGAGTTAATGCCTCGGGAGCCTGGGGTGTGTCGTCTATTTTAATGCTTAAAGGATCAAACGGAGAGAGGGTCCTCTTAGTGTAGTTTTACAAATCAGAACGTGGTGAGAGGCGGAAGAAGTTCATTTGCTTACAATTGAAAAATAGAACTGCGAAGTAAGCTGGTAAATTCGGTTCTAAGAGCCCATTCTCTATCCAAGATTCCGTAATTCCCGTAATTCGTGCCTTTTATTTTCTATTTTTACCATCAGAAAAATGACCTTCACACACAAAATGAGAGAGAAGAAAAACCTTAGTAAGAAGAACTTCATGGGTGCATGGTATGGAATGTGAACTATTCTTCAATAAAGTTGTTCAAAGAAAAAGAAAGAAGGTCAGGGCCAATGACCAAGAAGTACGAGAACACCTGCTTACAGAATGAGTTCTTGCCTTTAGGTAGAGACAAGTTACGTTCCTGATTCACTTAATGCACTTATTTTAAAAAGCACCTACTGTGTGCTGGACACTGATCCTGGAATTGGAAGCACAAAGGTTAACACAGTAAATAAACATGGCAACTCCTCTTGCTGTTTCTTTTTTTTTTTAATAGAATTGTTTTGTTTAGCTTTATTATTTATCTATTTATTTGGAGAGGTTTTTGCTATAGGGTGTGTGCGCTCACCAGAAAGACAGAGACAGAGAGACAGAAAGCAAGAAATCGCCCCCCAGGGGGGATGGTCACGCCACAATCCCTTCTCCTCCATTCTCCTCTCGGGATCTTGAGCACGCACGCACACGCACCCGGCGTGAGTTTAAGCCACCAGGTCCGGGACTCGAACTGCAGTCAGCTACGTGGGAATCCAGCGACGTCATCATTACACCATCTGCTGGTCCCCAAGTTCATATTTTACATGCATGTGTCGGATTCTTCCAGGACCATTTGATGAAAAGATTATGCTTTGCTCAGTTGCCCTGGCACCGCTATAAAAAAATTATTAATTACAAATGTAATCCTTTATTTCTGGACTCTGAGAACAGATTTCTGACTACTTTTTCCCATTCCCAATTCCCCAGGGGCCCTGGGAGAGTCACACCTACTGACAGTAACAGAGACCTGCAGACTGTCCACCGTTGGCAGTGGGAGGCGCCATCCTGTCCCGGGCTTAGTGCTTTGCATGCAGACTAAGCCTTCTTCTCTCTCAGAGTAAAGCACAATCTTTTGCTGATTTCTTTCAGGAACAGAGACAGGATTTTCTTTAACCAATTACTAAGCTAAGAATTCCAAACTCACCTATAACCTACAACCCTCCACTTCCAGATTGTAGTTCAAATCCCAGCCCCGGTGGCTTGAAAGACATACCAGGAGAGACCAACAGCTGGCGGAATGGTTACGTTGCTGGACTCCCATGGTAGTCAGCCAGTTTTACCTAACCAGCATGTCACATCCTCTCCACCCCATCTTCAGGCCTGGTCCTGACGGATTAGCCCCTTTCTCCAGCACTGAGTCTCCTTTCTACATCCTTTCTGTTGAATTTCGCACTGTTTCTTCCAAGACAAAATATTAGTCCTCATACTTTTTTTTGAGAGATTTTTGCTATAGGGCGCGTGCACTCGCCAGACAACAGAGACAGAGAGACAGAAAGCAAGAAATCCCCCCCCCCCCGGGGGGGGATGGCCACGCCGCAATCCCTTCTCCTCCATTCTCCTCTCGGGGTCTTGGGCACGCACGCACGCACGCTCTGCGTGAGTTTAAGCCACCAGGTCTGGGACTCGAACCGCAGTCGACTACATGGGAGTCCAGCGACATAGCCATTACACTAACTGCTGGTCCCGTAGTCCTCATACTTTTCAGCGACATGGGAATATCAGTCCAAGTTCTTTGCCACTCAATCAAATAGCAGTTTATGACACTTAACCAAGAGTTTGCAATGCAGTGTTCACTGTTGGCAAGGTAATCCCATGTGTCCAGTTGACTGGCTCAATCTCCACATTCCAGAGACAAGCCAGAGCAGGGAACAGGGGTATACTCTCTTGGGACTGGTGAAATCTAGGCTCTCAAGACTGAGTTTCTTTTGTTTTTTGTTTTTTTTGGGTTTTTTTAGATTTTTTTTTTTTGAGAGGTTTTCGCTCTCGCCAGAAAGAGAGAGACAGAGAGATAGAAAGCAAGATAGAAAGCGAGAAATCACCCCTTGGGGGGGGGATGGCCACACCGCAATCCCTTCTCCTCCATTCTCCTCTCAGGATCTTGGGCACGCACGCACACGCGCCCGGCGTGAGTTTAAGCCACCGGGTCTAGGACCTGAACCGCAGTTGACTACATGGGAGTTCAGCAATATAGCCATTATGCTAACTGCTGGTCCCAAGACTGAGTTTTTTGTATGATTCACTTTTTTATGGAATTTTAAATGGGTTTGCCATTAAAAATGTCCACTGTCCTTCTTCCTTGGGTAAGGGTCTCTGCAATTGCAACCAAGACAGGGCCAGTGAAGCTCATCGAAGCTGACCAGACGCAATGCCAAAAACAAGAAGAGCTTCTAGTTAATTCCTGCTCATGTTGATCTAAAACACAATGAGCAATTTAATCAAGAATATTAACAATAAGGAAGCAAAAGAACTAACCTAGTCCAACTTGACCAGCGAAGCACTGAGGTAGTGATGACAGGCCAGACAATGTGAGATGAGGGGAACTTCAAAATCCTGCCATCTTGGGACCAGCGGTTGGCGTAATGGCTATGTTGCTGGACTCCCATGTAATCGACCACAGTTCAAGTCCTGGACCCAGTGGCTTAAACTCATGCTGGACATGTATGCATGCATGCCCAAGATCCCAAGAGGAGAATGGAGGAGAAGGGATTGCGGCGTGGCCATCCCCCCTGGGGGGTGATTTCTTACAATCTGTCTCTCTGTCTTTCTGAGGGCACGTGCCCTATAGCAAAAACCACCCAAAAAAAAAAAAAACAAAAAAAAAAACTCCTACTCTCTTTCATTTGCAGCCACCTGTGCACTGAAATAAGGTATATTTCTTGTAGCCTGTAGTGAATATCTCAGACCATTTGCTCAAAAGCTTTTCCTGTGTCTTCTTTTATTTAAGAGGCTGGAGACTTAAAAATCATATTTTCCAGACTCCCTTGCAGCTAGGATTCCCGACATAAATTCATTTCCACCATTCGTAAACAATTGTATGAGATTTAGAAAGGGGGTGTGAGACAGTGGGTGTGAGCCATCTTTCTGCCTTTGTGGCTGTGGTCTGCTGACAAGCGTAATTATGAAGTTACAAGGCTCCTCTAACCCAGCATTAACTCCAGGGTCTGTTCCTTAGCCTCCTGGATGGAGAGAGGGAGCCGCCTCAGAGTTCCAGGCTGGGCTTCATGGACCATGCCCATTCCTAAGCTCTGTGGATTTTGCGAGCCCCATGAGTGCAACAGCAGCAGTGGCACATTCGGCATCCCTAGGGTGCAGCCACAGAAGTGCATTTCTGGGAACCAACAGTTGGCGTAATGGCTATGTTGCTGGACTCCCACGTAGTCGACTGCGGTTCGCATCCCGGACCTGGTGACTTAAACTCACGCCGGGCACTTGTGCGTGCATGCCCAAGATCCCGAGAGGAGAATGGAGGAGAAGGGATTGCAGCGTGACCATCCCCCCTGGGGGGTGATTTCTCGCTTTCTGTCTCTATGTCTCTCTCTGTCTGGCGAGCACACGTGCCCTATAGCGAAAATCTCTCAAAAAAAAAAAGTAGAAGTGCATTCCTGAATTTAACAATCCCAGTGGTGAACTCCAGGTTGGAATTTCCTCGGTAGGTGTGTTCTCCGGGGTTATGGAGTCAAATCTGAAGGTCCAGGCCCTCAGTTAGTCTCCAGGATTGCTGTGTACCCCCAGTAGTTTTACAGATCCCCAATTCACTGTATTGAATCCTTTTCTGCTTAAAATACCTAGGCAAGCTTCGGACACC